TAAAGAAAAGCGTTAAGAAATCATTAATACACAGACATCCAACAGGTTTGAAGGAGACTGGATTCATCGACAAGTTTTAATCAAAAAACTGCTGAAATCCACCGAACATAACACAAGCGAATAGTTTTTAAATGTCTGAGGTGATATTTCTGTTCCAACTCAATTTTAATTCTATGTCCCTTGTAAACCCATAATCAGCCTCTAGAAGAAGTTAGAATGGGGCAAAATATCCTAACTCGTAACCTCTAAGATTTAAATTCTATATCGTACATACACACCCTGGTTGCAACAGCAGCTCTTTCCTGCGGTCTGACTGATGTGGTGTTGTGGCCCCAGGGCCCCTGGAGAGCACTAATTGAATTGGTTTCCAGAGAATACTAATGGACCTTAATGTTGAGATAACTGATACTCAAACAATGAGTGATCATTGACAGCATGTGTGTCTGCTCTGTAATAAACATGTCACAGCAACACAGGGAGCCAGTTGGCCCGTAAATTAATTCCTCCCATGTGCCCCGTCTCCTGACTCACACACACACACACACACACACACACACACACACCCACACACACCCCCACACAGACATGGGGTGTTTGTACTGTTCCTGTGAGGACCATGTTTAACCCCTATTCCAACAAAATACCACTGTACCACTGTTACCTGTTACCTCAGAGGCAAAAGCTATGTGTTCGAAGCATGTCCTTCTTCAAATAAAATGGAGAAGTGTGAAATGTCAGTCTGCTGCAACAGTTCTGGAAAGTATTAATCCCTCGACAGAGTTGTCAACTTTTGTTGAGGGAAAATTAGATCACCAAAGTCAGCAGGATTCAGCATCTTGAGACTGGTGGTTAGTTCAACAAAAGGATACATACTTTCACAGTTTTGAAAAACAATATACATACGCATTCAGAATTAAAGGTTCACAGACACACACAGATCTTTCCACTGTCCCTTGGTTACTTTGGCATTGATGGGTCCCCATGCACTCTAAGCCAGAAGCTGCCTCCTCCACTTCCTCAGTTCTTGCAAATGTCTGGGAGACATTTGTGCAGCAAAGCATGCAGATCTGAATGCAATCCTCTGGTCTGAGCTGGTTAAAGAAGGAAATTGAAAAGTAATCTGCAAAATCCTGTCATTAAATGTGTCATGCTGAGTCTCTTTAGTATAGGCGTAGACATGGTTGTTTTTTTCCCAGCCCATCTGTCTTTAATTAGCAGAAGATCCCTTAAGCAACACACCCATGAAGCATTTCGGACAGAAGTTGTCGTCACCCTCCTGCCGCAACACTGACTTTGGCTAAAAAACCCACCCACACTTTCTCCCAGCCAGCACCTCAGCCACACTGTGTTTGGTGTAAAAACAAATTCTCTCGGTGTAATCACAAGCTGAGCTAACAGTTTTCAATAGCTTGTCCTTCACCGTTGTCCTGTCCAGTGACACCTCAGCATTTCTAACAGCCCTGATGACCACTCGGCCTCAGCTATTGTATTTTGGCCAGGGCCCAGCAGCCATGATTCACCTGGGAGTTTGAGAAAATACTGCCATGGGAGCAAGAAGGAGCAGAGGGCGCCTGGTGGGTTGGAAGCTGGGGTTGATGATGAGAGATGTGGCATGCAGGGAAGGGTTTTTATCCCATGCAATGTCCACATGCACTGGTGGTTTTCAGGCTTTGGACAGGCAAAATGGGAAAGGCATAAATGCATGGCGTTCCATCAGCAACTGCTGTAGTGTGATATAACAATAATCATCCTGTCAGATGAGTGTGGACAGGGAGAACGCCTGTTTAAAAAGACAGATATATTACACCAGTTTGTAAAGCAGCACGATATTAGGAACAGTATGGGAAATATCTATTGTCCCATTATGTAAGATTTGGATGTAAATGTAAACAAGATAGTCAATGAGACAGCAGTTTTTAGGTCAAGCAAGACTACATTTATTTCATGTTCATTAGGCAACTTTATACTTTTTGTATAAGGGCAAAGAAATGTCATTTTAGACACGAACCCAAAGTATATGCAGCAACAAGTAACATCCAGAGGAATATGATAAATTCAAGAAAGTGCAACAACAAAATAATAATAATAAACCCAGAAACGATACCATAAATAAGAATTCTTTTTGGGAATAAAAACTCCTTAATTGCACAGTGTAGATTTTTAAAAGGATAGTACTGTAAGTAACACTTTATTTTATGGATCCCATCATTTTCTGGCAATTTCATAGAGAAAAATGTGTATAGCTGTAACTTCTCTGTCCTGACAAGAAAATGTAATATGGTAGCAATTACAAAATAATTAGACACTTTTACTATTATTAAACATAATGTAATGATTTAATATTTTTACAGTTTTGATGTTTTTACTGCACCAGGTCGCCAGAACATTAATAAATGTAAAGTTTGTCTACAGGCAAAGATAAAATTCAATAAATATGCATGTGCTATCCAAAAATAAGTGAAAATGTCCTTGGGTTTTTCAATTTAATGAAGATTTTAGTAGTTTCACCTTATCAATGTAAGCTAAATAAAACCAAACAACTGTCTCAGTATGATGCCTTTATTGCCCCATATTGAATTACACACAGTGGTTCTTTACAATAAAGGTATAAAGAAATCATGGAATGTGTCATTTGTACCACAATCAGAATAAAAAATGCCTCAGTGTGAAATAATGCAGAGAAAAATGGGTAATAAATCTAATTTGGAATCTGTCTGCCATTTTGACTGTGTACAAAGGTTAGTCACAAAATCCTCTCACAAATACTCCTCCCTCTGCACCGACTTTAGTCTCCAGTAACAAGCTGGTAGAGGAACCAAACCCACCATATTCCCAAAACATCCCATTCTCACTCACGAACAGTACCCCTCCCATCACCCTGAGCGGGAATCACTGGCTGGTGATTGTTTGTGGAGTTTGAGGGAAGCTGTCATGATGTCACCACCAGAAGACGGAGTTTTTTCCCCACTCGCTCCCTTCCTGTCCCTCTCCAAGTTAAACAGATGAGATCAGCTCATCTTTACTGATGTTCCCATCTCTGTAGCCAGAAAGAGCACTGCACCATCCTGTTTGAAACTGTGCTACCCATGACTTGCCCTAAAAGGTGTCAGCATCACAGTCTGCTCAGCTGCTCGTCCTCCCTTTCCATGTTTTTATAAAAATACATTTATTTCTCCTTTCATGATGTGGGAACATGCAGAATCTCTTCCATCCTTGGATGATGATGATGATGATGATGATGATGATGATGATAAGCTGTAGCCTGATAAAACAGAATAAGAATAATAATAATCACTTGTATTGGCCAAGTATGTTACACACAAGAAATTCATCTCCAGTACAGAACCGAGGCAACCATCTGTGGCGCCAGCTCACACACACACTGATGGCAACTCTCTCCCTGCTCTGGCCATTGGAAGCAACTTGGGGTTCAGTGTCTTTGCCAAGGACACATCGACATGTGGTCTTGGGAAAACAGGAATTGAGCCACCAACCTTCTGATTAGGAAGTGACCTATCTACCTCCTCAGCCACACCCGCCACAGAACAAGCTTAAGAAGAAAATAGTATTTTAAGAAATAAATGAAAAAATAAAATGTCACATAAATTTGAGACCTTTTTAAATATGTTGCCAACAAAGTCTCTTATCAGTAACAGACAACCACTTTTCAATGGTACAGGGAAATGTGAGCTAGGGAGCAAATATATGTGGTGTTTGGTGACATCTATTGGTCACAAAACGCTGGTGCAATCTGCTTGTTATTTTCAGGGCTGTGGAGGGTAAATTCTACCTGATAAATGTTTACAAATATGAGGAAATTTTTTTTATCACAAATATAAATACACAAACATAGAATATGTTTCCTTGCTGTGGTCAGTGTGATTAAAAGTGATATTTCTATTATTTCTTATGGTGCATACAGAATTTGCTGTTGTAAGTCATCAACAAAATTTGCAACATTTGTGGGAATTATTTGCATACAAATTGTTGCTGTTGTTGTTTGAGTCAGAGGTGACCCGCTGTCATTTTTAATAAAAAAAAATATATACGAGTAGTAATTTTTTTCAAATTCAGACTCAGTGGCCTTGGCTCATTTTCTGTGAAGAACATACTGTATATCACCTTGTATTTTGCAGCTGTGTTGCAAAATACAAGGGCTGTTATCCTCTCCACTGGAAAGTCAACCAAATAACTACAAAACACATAAAAAAATGCATGATGCCAAAAAAGGTGCAAAATGGCAACAAAAAGTTGCAAAATTACATAAAAGATGCACGGAAGCAGAACATTTCCAGAGACAGCTAATGACTACAACAATATGCCAAACAACTAAAACCAAATACAAAACAAGTAAAAATATATGCAAAATTGCCACACTTAGATGAGGAATCAGTAAAAATGGAGACGGGCAATGGGTAAAAACAGACACAAGACAACAACAAAGAGATATCAGTCAGTCACAAGAAGACACAAAACTGAAGGTTGCCCAATCTGAGACTTGCTTTTTGAACTGTAGGAGAGGTATAGTCGAACCTTTTACATCTCTGTGCTTGGGGGCCCATTGTCTCATATCCCTTCCATGAGTAGTGTATGTTTTATTTTCAAAAATTAAGATTAAAATTAAGTTTGGTACGTCAGAAATTACTAGTATTTTAAAAACTACCATCATGTGTAGGTTATTATATCGCAGAATTACTGTACATGCTTATGTGTTTTACAAGCCCTGCTGTTTGGATGGTACCTACGTTTTACCGTTGCCATGGCTCCCACCAGAAGCTCGGTGTAGTACCGATAAACGTCCAGAAGGGGCAGAGCTTCACCAGATTTGTACGAATGTCTGAAGCGAGAAACCAGTGAAAGCATCACTAACTCAGGTAGTAAAGGGGCAGGTCCGAGGACCAGATAGGATCAGCTACTGGGGCTAGGCTCCGCTAACACCCCTCGGGCTTTAACGGCTCCCCCCCTCGCCCCCACTCCCTCTGGCAAGAAAAAAACCCCCTCTAGCCTCGACTCTTCCTGGAAATAAAGAAAGAAATCATGGTAGCTAAAAACAGAAAACCGACCGGGAAGAGTCCAGCGACTCAGGCTGACCGCGACAAAAGCCCGCTTGTTTCGCCCCCTGGTAAAAGTAAGGCGAGGCGACCAGGCAGAGAAGGCAAAGCTTTCAACAGCTCTCATCCAAACGGACTCTCAGGCGTCAGACACAAGCTTGGGCTAAGTCCCTCTGCAGTCGGGAAGCTGGGAATCACTCTTCTCCTCGGTAAGTTAGGAGCATTAGCGTGCTATCTTCTTAGTGAACTCCTAGCTAGCCACTGCTAACATTTTGTGCACTAGTAGCATGTAGCGGATGCGCTAAATTAAGTTATCTCCGCCGCTGATCGGCTGGCTAACGTTAGCTCACCTAAATGCTAGCGCACTAGTTAGCCACCTATAGTTGCTATTCATTAAGTCCCATCAAAGCAGCACGTGTTCTTTTCTGTTTATGTGGCACATCGGCTCCACACGTGTTGAGGGGTTTTCTGGCAAAACTGAAGCTAATGCTTTTGTGAATTCTCAGAATGCACCACAGTATCTCCGAGATTTAATTTTCCCAGTCCTCACCCCAACGGTTTAACTGGTTCGATGTTTTGTGGCTTCATTGCTGTTTGTCAAGCATGAAATAGCATTTTCTGGCAGTAGTGAAAGTTAATACTGTCTCCACAGCTGCGCTGACTGGATATCTACACTGGTAAGTCGCTCTCTATCAGCATGGTAATACTCAAACATTACTGCTGCTACTTGCAGCTCTTGGCTGACACATGTCTCCTCCTATGATTAGGTATCATCTGTCACATCTGTTTGAGAATGACAGACACTTTTCACACTTGTCTAACCTGGAGAAAGAAATGGCCTTTCGAACAGAAACGGTAAATATTTCATTGTTTGCATTGTTGTGTTTTGAGGGATACACTGATAAAGCTGAAGCCAATTTCTTCTGATGTCAGTGCTGTGCAAGAGTTTTAGGCATGACTAGTTTTTATCAGTTAACTTCACGCAGAGTGTGGTAAACAAGAAAAACAAATCAGATCACCCTTTGCCTTTAAACAGCACCAGTACACCTGCACACAGTTTTTCAAGGTACATGACAGATAGGTTGTTCCAACATCATGGAGAACCTGCCACAGTTCTGTGGATTCAGGTGGTCTCAGTGTCTCTCGTCTCTTCAGACTCCATGATGTGGAGATCAGGGTTCTGTGGGGACCAGGCCACCTGTTGCAGGACTTCTTGTTCTTCTTGTAGATCCTCTAGTTCTTTATGACTCTGACTGTATGTGTGGACTAGAAATGCAAGTGCAAAACAGACTAAGGGGGTAGATTACGAATATGATGGTTTTGAAAGGAGGATCATGACACCGTGTATGACTGCAGCTATCTCCTTGATCAGCCAGTTAGTTGTTTTTGTTTTTAAAATTCAGAATTGGTGAAAAATGCTGATCACAGTCTTCCAAGAATCTAATCTTCATGTGTTCCAGTGTCTTGTTTTGTCCCATGAGCAGCTCTTTCTATTGATGATCAAGGGAACTTGTAAAGAAAAGATGAGCGAATGAAGGTGAACCCAAGCCTGTGAGGTGGCCAGTAGATCTCACAGAAACACAGACTTGAATTTGTTAGCTGTACAGACAAGACAGAAGTGGTATGTGACCACACGTTGACTACTGTGACTCTGTATGATCAGAGAAAATCCTCATTCCCCCCCTTTAGAGTATAAACAGTATTCAAGTCTTCAAAGCTGACAGTTCTAGCAATATGAAAACGTGGGTGTAGTTCTAATGTCTGTGGTGGTGTTTTTTTTTTTATCTGGGACACTGCTAAGGTAGCTGCGAAAGGGCACCACCAGCCAATATGTGTCATTTACTGTATCCTAGTAACAGGCTTCATGCTCGTTTCAGAGATTACGCTGATTTAATCATATGCAAACAGAATATATTCTTGCCTCACCCCTGCTGTGTGCTGCCTCATGGGCTGTGAGCCGTCGCCATCTGCTGAGTTCATGTAACTCATTCTTTGTTGGGGAGTTATATTTAGTGTCTGTCTGCTGTCTCTCTCTGGATCTGCTCTGTCTCTCCTGATCACCTCACTCCTTGCTTCTCCTATTGTTCTCCTTCTCTCCATCACTGCCTTCACATTTCTCTATCAATGTTCTTGTCATTTAGAGATTTTCTCTATGAATTTAATCTATTGTTTGTTTCTTGGTTCCAGGGGTTGTACTATTCCTATTACAAAACCATTATTGAGGCCCCCTCTTTCCTGGATGGCCTCCACATGGTCATGAATGATCGGCTAACAGAGTATCCCCTGGTTATTAACACGCTGAAGAGGTTTAACCTCTACCCAGAGGTAATGCTGGCATGGTGCTCATATGATTTACAGTATGGTAGCCAGTGTTGTGGTACTTGAGTCCTGATTTTTGTATTCTCCTGTTAAACCTTCATGAATATCAATGAGCTTATAAAGGTAATGGTTATCAATTAGGGCTGCCAGTATTTGGGTGAATAAGATTATGAAAAATATAACCTGGTGTCAGATTTGTTAGGCTACACCTGATATTATGCCAGATACAGATATTGTTTGTGTCTTTTTTTATTTCCTCCTTTCACTATAGCTGGAGCAGCCCTAGTGGAATCTATAAAACAATGCAGAAAAGTTGAAGCTGCTTCCCTGAACTGACAAAGTAAAGGCATTACAGTGGGAGTCCTGTGTGTTTGTACCCCTCAGAGGGACAGTATTGTTTGAACAGGACTTTGACTAGTGCTCATCCCTCCAACTGTCCATCTCTTCTCCCCAGGTGGTTCTGGCCAGCTGGTACCGAATGTACACAGGTGTAATGGGCTACTTTGGGATTCCCACAAAGATGTGCTGGTCAATCAACAGAGGAGAGGGACTCACTCCAGTGGACAGCTGTGAAGGTACAGACTGTCGCCATGGAGCTCCAATCTGATCTGCAAATATGCTCATTTGTGTACAAAGACAGTGAATGATTACCACATTACACAAGTGTGTGCTGTTACAGAAATGACCTGGAGCTACACTGACATTTAAAATACTCATGCCGAGTCAACTGGAAGACTAATTTCTACAGACTTTGATTTTCTTCATTTGTGAACAGATGTAGTCAGAACAGCCTCATGGGGAGCTAGCTGTTAAGAGTAATATATAAATTTAACAGAAGGAACTGAACAAAGGGACCAAGCACTCTTCATTCCTATTTTTTACTTTCAAGTGAGAATTCAACTGAAAGAGATTACTTACTGATTAATCTGTTGATTACTCTTTAAATTACACTAAAATATGTCAGAAAATGGTGAAACATGTCTGTTAGAATTTCCCAGAATCTATGACTGCATCTGTGAACGGCTAGTTTTGTCTGACAGCAGGACCAACAGACAGATCCTCACACTGGGGAGCTGGGACCAGCAGATGTTTGGCACTTTTAGAAAGATAACGTTCAAAAGTTTAGAAAATATGCTTATTTCCATCCTGGCCAGGGGTTAGAATGAAACCACTCTCATGGCTTCCGGTTTGAGACACAGCTACATCTACAGATGATTATCTTAGTTTAGTATAAAGACTGGACACAATAGGAAACAGCTAGCCTCCCCCTGTCCAGAGGTAAAGACATTTGCCCTCTTCAACTCTAAATCTCACTCATTAAGACATTGTTTCTTGTTTGTTTATTTATATAAACTCAGAAGTGTACTCAGAAGTTGTGCTTGTGCCTACAGTTGTGTGCACGGCTGATTCTTGACCAGGGTTACTGACGTTTTTGGAGTGACTGTGAAGTTGCCAGAAACCAGCAGAAAGTCAGTGAACCTGGCCAGAAATAAGTGTTATTTCCCACAAGGTTGAACAGTTCCTTTAATATAAGGCTTCATTATCACATAAGACAGAGAAAAGTATCAACTAGGTGATCTTTTGCATTTTTTTCATGGAAAATTACTTAAAATGGTTAATGATTTATTAAGAATTGTTGCTGATTAACCGTCTGTCCTTCAGGTAATCAATTAATTGATAAACTGTTTCAGACTTCTATCAATAACAAAACTGAGGTGAGATGAACGGAGATTCCAAATGTCACATCCGGTGTCTCACACAAGCATTTACTACTACATAATTAGTAATTACTTCACTCAAATAGCTTTTTGTCTGTCACTACATAATTAGTAATTAGATACTTCACTCAAATAGCTTTTTGTCTGTTTGAGGGAGTGTTTCCTAGAAGAGTCAGTTTGTGGCACTACACAGACAAAAGCTGTTTCTGTTTGTTCTTTGTGGAGCTGCAATCCCCATGTTTCCCTTAGACTTATTAGTGAAGACAGGCACCCCAGGGTCAATGTACACAAGCTGTTTGCACAGTGTTTACATAAACCTGATCGCACTAACAGAAAGAGGGAACAGTTCCTGTTACCGTCAGCTGGTGCATTGCTTTTGTGGGATTCAGAATGACACAGTTGAGAGTGGAGAGGTGGTGTTGTACTGCATTTTTAGCCTGCACTCTTCTCCTTTATCTCTTTGCCCTGTGATATAGCAGCTGTTAGTAATGTCAACACACTTCCAAGTGTCTTGTTAGTCATTATAGTCTTGTCTGTTCTGTGTTCCTGCTGTTTTTGCTGGTAGTGTTGATGAGATTGAATCATTCAGTGGTGCTAGAAATACTGTACAGTGTCAGTTCACTGACCTGTAAGGTGATGCAAGTCCATTTGTTGTCATGAAAAGCCTGCGTCTGCCCACTGGTACGAATGGAAGGCCCCATGTTTCTACAGCAGAATTAGACACATTGTTACTTGTGTAATATGTTAACCACAACTTTTGATGGCCAATTCTTCATGTACTACAGTCCTCGCCTGCTGTCTTTCTGGCAGGACATCATGCACTAGAGTTAGCCCCTCCAACGCTTACATGACAGTGGCTTTTCTCACATTTCAGTAAGCTTTGTAGAGGTGCTACCTGGTCCATGGGCTGTTTCTGCATTGATCTAACTTACTCAACATGAATTGTCCCAAATTATACAGCACCCAGAATGCAAGCAGTACAGTTTGACAGAGTCTTGAGTATGCCACTTCCAGAGCAGTTAAAGACAACTACGTGCATAAAGGCGCAGCTGTGCTCAGAGAATTTACCTTGTCCTCTTTTCTGTGTTGGTTAGATTAATTTGTGTTTCAGATGGGGTTGCAGCTAGTTACTGATTTCACTTATGACTGAGTCTAGATTGTCTGCACTAGTTCAGTCTCTTCAGCTTTCATCTCCATTAGAAATGTTTAACTGAGGGAAAACCATGTGTGTGTATGTGTGTTGTGTACATTAGGGATG